GTCCATCTAGTCAAGGCTGTGGTTTTTTCAGTGGTCGTGTATGGATGTGAGAGTTGGACTGTGAAGAAAGCTGGGCATGGAAAAATTGATGCTTTTGAACTGTGAAGTTGGAACAGACTCTTGAGAGTCCTTTGGACTGCAAGGAGATCCAACCAGTCCATCCTAAAGGAGATCAGTCCTGGGTGTTCATTGGAAGGACTGATGCTGAAGCTGAAACTCCAGTACTTTGGCCACCTCATACAAAGCGTTGACTCATTTGAAAAGACCCTGATGCTGGGAGGGATTGGGGGCAGGAGGAGAAGGGGACGACAGAGGATGAGATGGCTGGATGGCATCACCGACTCAATGGACATGAGTTTGAGTAAACTCCAGGAGTTGGTGATGGACAGGGAGGCCTGGTGTGCTGAGATTCATGGGGTCGCAAAGAGTGGGACACGACTGAGTGACTGAACTGAACTGAACTGTCAGATATTTTGTATAATGTCCCTCAGTTTGGATTTGTCTGATGGTTTTCTCATGATTAGATTGATGTAATGAGTTTTGGGAAGAAGACCTCACAGCTCAAATGCCCTATTTATTGCATCATATCAGAGAGTACATGACATCAAAGAAGATGTTAACCTTGATCAGTTGGTTTGGATGGTGTCTGCCAGGTTTTTCTACTAGAAAGTTACTCTTTCCATCCTCTATCCTCATCATATTCCTTTAAATGAAAATCAACAAGTATTGGGAATTCCCTGGTGGTCCACTAGTTAGCACTTGGTGCTGTCACTGCTGGGGCTGGGTTTGATCTGTGATCGGGGAACTAAGATCCTGCCAGCTCAGTGGTATGGCTGAGGGTGGAGCAGCGGAGGAGAAAAGAAAAAGAAAAAAGAATCCCCAAATCAAGTATTTGAATGTTGTATGCCTTGGACAGCAAGGACCAGTCAGTCCTAAAGGCCTGGTCAGTCCTAAAGGAAATCAACCCTGAATATTCATTGGCAGGACTGATGCTGAAGCTGAAGCTCCAATACTCTGGTCACCAGATGCGAAGAGCCGACTCATCGGAAAAGACCCTGATGCTGGGAAAGATTGAAGGCAGGAGGAGAAGGGGACAACAGAGAATGAGATGGTTGGATGGCATCACCAACTCACTGGACATGAGTTTGAGCAAACTCTGGGAGATGGTGAAGGACAGGGAAGCCTGGTGTGCTGCAGTCAATGGGGTCAACAAAGAGTCGGACTCTGAGTGACTGAACAATGCAGGGACACTAGGCGCTGAAGGACGCAAGTGGAATTCTTGAACACAGGAGGCAATCGACATGTTATGAAGTTTGTGGTTCAATGGGAGTCTATAATGTTTGTTGTCTCAGCCTCAGCGATGGTGAGGGTGAAGGCAGTGGGAAGGCAGAGGAGCAACTGAGGCTCAAGACAGGCAGGAGATACACACGGTAGTTGCATTTGTATTAGTCAATCTACTTTGCCTCCAAAACCCACTTATTCATTCATCCATTCAGCAAATATTAAAGCGCCCACTGTGTGCCAGGTACTATTTTAGGTACTAGGGATACAGCAGTGAATATGTACCATTCCCTCCTCTTGCCAAGTCATAGATTAGTGTGGAGACAAACACAGGAGTGAAACCTGTGGCATGGTAGATTGTGATGAGTGTTAGGAGAAAAGTAAATTAGGGAAGGGGACCAGGCATCATGCACACCTCCATGACTGCATCCGTGGGTGGGGTGGGCTTGGGGTGGATTTTTAATAGTGAGCTAAAGGAATACCTCAGCAAGAAGTTGATTTTTTAAAAGATTATTTATTTATTTGGCTGCACCTGGTCTCAGTTGCAGCACACAAGATCTTTGATCCTTGCTGTGGCATGTGGGTTCCTTTAGCTGTGACATGCAGGATCTTTAGCTGAGGCATGCAGAATCTTTTTTTTTTTTTTTCAGTTGTGACATGTGGGATCTTTAAGTTGTGGCTTGAGGAACGCCTAGTTGCAGCATGTGGGATCCAATTCTCTGACTACCCCTCTCCCCATCCCCCACACTGGGAGCACAGAGTCCCAGTCATTGGACCACCAGGGAAGTCTCCAAGAAGGTGATTTTTAAGTCAAGATCTGCAAAAGGTGAGGGAGTGAACCATGTGGATATCTGGATAAAAGCAATCCAGGGAGAGAAAAGGGCAAATGCAAAGGCCCTGAGGTGGGATGCCTGATGTATTCAAGGAACAGTAAGAAAGAGGCTGGTGTGAATGAAGTTTGAGAGCTCTTAAAGCTAGGAGGTGTGGAGGGCAGAATGTATAGAGTTTTCCAGTCCAAGGAAAGGACTTTAGTTTTTATTCTGTGCAAGTTAGGAGGCGATCAGGAGAGTTTTAACCAAAGGAGTGACTTGATCTAACCTTGGTAATTTTGTTGAGAATAGACTGTTGTTACCAGTGGCATGAATGGAAACAGAAGTTTAAAAGAGAAATATAGTATGAATATAATACTGGGAGGGTATCTGTGAAGCATTCAGAAGGGATCAAGGATTCTGGGTTAAGGATTTGTGATGGGTAGCAAAGTAAAAGGTGATGAAAGAAAACCTCTATGAATCAATGTAGCAGTAAAATGTTAATTTTCTTCATTTAAAAAATACTTCATAACAAAAAAGATAAATAACCCAATTAAAAAATGGGCAAAGGACTTGAATAGACACTTCTCCAAAGAAGATATACAAATGGCCAACAAGTTTATGAGAACATGAACATCGCTAGTCACTAGGGAAATGCAAATCACCCTAGTGAGATATCACCTCATATGCATGAGAACATGGCTTCTAACAAAAATACAGAAAATAACAAGTGTTGGTGAAGATGTGAAGAAATTAGAACCCTTGGGCTACTGGTGGGAATGTAAAATAGTGCAGCTATTGTGGAATATGGCAGCTGCACAAAAAAATTAAAAATAGAATTATCATATGATCCAGCAATTCTACTTGTGGGTATATATCCAAAAGAATTGAAAGTACAAATTGAGTTGGTTTTCCCCATAGTACTATGAATAAAAAAGCCATTTTAACAAATTATGAGTTCATAGAAAATCTCTGGTTTTGTGGTCTATTTTTTCAAATAATAGGAAATGAACTTTCAATAAAAAGTGTATGGGGACCTTGAACAAACGATTTATTTTTCACAGACTGATGTGCAGGTGGAAAGGGGCAATTCTTTGACTATCTGGAGGATCTGACTAAATGAATTTCTACCTAAGCTATTAATTTACAATAACTGAAAAGAGATAATTTATCTCCTACAATGGACTTTCAAATTAAATATAAAAGGAACGTAGGTAGAGAAAATGTGCAGAAAAATTGGTATTATATCAAAACTGACAAATATTTAAATGATTTTTTTTTTTGGTTGCATTCATCAACTGACTGTTAGAGGGAAATAACACTGCTCGCCCGAGTTTATACAAATTTCAGTCCCCCAATATAAAGCGATATGTAGATTTTTCTTAGAGATAAAGGACGAAACAATTTGTAAAAGAAATTCCATATAGGCGTCATAGAGCAACAAAATTGTGCATTTAAAAATCTGAGGTTAACAAGGCATTTAAAAATAATCAAGGGTTATTGCTACTACCTGTGACATCACCGATTGTGTAAACATTGCTGTCTAGGTGAAAATTTACGGGCTGTCTAGGATATTTTTTGCAACGGTTTAATAGGAAAAGAAGATGCCACAACTCCAAATGTCCCTAGGCAGTTTAACCTCTTCACTGAATTTCTTTCCTGTTGCTTTTCAATAGGGGGCTGTTAGCAATTTTAGGGCAACCGCGGGGTAAAGAACCTCACTGAAAAATCCACAGTCACATTACTCATTTGGGAGACAGATGATCTCTAGATCTGTATCTTGGAAGAAGGAAAAAAGGAAACCTTGTTCTTGATCATTTGATGCACAAACTCCGCGAATATTTAAGTACACGGGCTGATAAAGCAGGAATTAACGAGAGCTGCAGTTCTATTTTTCTAGGCTTCTGTAGAAACAAACTACGCATTTGAAGTCATCAATCGGCTTTTGGCGGACCCCTGCCGTAATTCACTTTCCTCCTTCTTTTGTTAGCTGCTTTTACCTTGACGACTTTAATGAGCATAGGGAAAGGAAAGGGCCGTCTCCGTGGATGGTCACTTCGCGACCTCTCGGGTCTAGCAACAGAGTATTCCACTTGATATCCTCACTCCAGCCCCAGCACCAAGCACTTGCTCCTCTGGTCCCGCCCCGCGACGCGCGGGGGCGGGGCCGGCCGGGAGCTGCCCACTTCCAACATGGCGTCGCGGGAGGCGGGTCCGCTCTCCGGCTCCCGGGGTTCCGGCGCTGCGCGTTTTGGTTCCGGAGTAACAGTGCCCTCGCCGCTGCCTTCCCCCTCCCGCCGCCGTCTTCCCCCTCCTGCCGCTGCCGCCGCCGCCGCCAAGATGCTGGCCTCGGATGGCCGCAGCTGAGTCGCGCGCCCCGCGCACTTTGGCTGAGGTGGGGCAGAGGACTCGTCCCCGGGTCCGCTCGACTTTCTTTTGGTCTGGCGGCCCTGGGATTCCTTCCTAACAGCCCCGAACCGAGTCCCCCCAAGTCGGGGACCCTCCGCTCCTCTTAAGGAGGAGTGGACACCTGCAGCTGTATCTCCCTAAAACGGGGTCCTCTCTTTGCGTCCCCTCACACCCACACAGAGGACGGAGAGCTTCACCATCCCGTTTGCCATCTTCTCCAACTCCAGAACCTTCTGACCTCCGCTAGTTCCTCCTGGCTTCTGCCCTGACCCCGTCCACGCTCATCTGGAGACGTCCCTCAACCCCCTGGGCCTGGGCCTGGCTCCGAGCCTGCGGGCTGCTTCCGGACCACCTCCTCTCCTCACCCCTCCTGCCCCTCCGTGCTCTGACCCTCGGGCCTCTTGGCGCCCCCCTCGTCTAACCAGGGGGGCGAGGGGCCCCTACCAGGATGTGAGCCCCTTTCACCTGTAATGCGTGGCTGGCCCTTGGCCCTTCCATGCCATGGAGAACCAAGTGCTGGTGATTCGCATCAAGATTCCCAACAGTGGAGCGGTGGACTGGACGGTGCACTCGGGGCCGCAGCTCCTCTTCAGGGATGTGCTGGTGAGTGCTCATCACGGGGTGTCGGTCATAGGGAGTGGGGGCCGGCATTTGTGGGGCAGTCAGCACTGTGATCGCCGAATCTTACCCTGGTGGCCTGAGCTAGTGGCCATTGCTGGCCTCCATGTGGGGGCAGTTTTATTGCTTCCACAAGCATTGATTAATTGCATGGGCTGAAATCTGACAAGTGTTGAGGTCCCTGGGGAAGTAGAGATGAATCAGACTGGACCCCTGCCCTCAAGGAACTCAGCCTGGACTGGGATAAAATTTTTTACACAGAAGCAACCAGCTGAGTTACAAAAAGCTGAATCTAGAAGAGAGTTTTGTGGAATGTCCCTGGCCGGATTCCAGGCCTTTCTACTGAGTTCTCTAAACTTGGTAACTAGTGAAAAAGAGAAAGTAGACAAGTCTAACCAATCACGTTTTAGCAAACCTAAAGTGCACTAAGTTTTGAGATAGTGTTTTATGTAAAGAAAGAAAGAGAAGTAAAAGGAAGAGAAAATGCAGCTCATTAAACTGTGACATGCCATACATTGTACAAAACCCAATTTCAGAGATGTTATAATAGAGGTGTTATTTCACAGATGTTAAAATGTACTTTAAAGACTCAGTGAAGCCTTACTTTCATAATAAATATTCAAAATGTATTTCAAATAAAATGGAATGTTAGACTTGACACTCAGCTTTCTTTATAGTCCAACTCTTAACATTCATACATGACTACTGGAAAAACCATAGCTTTGACTAGATGGACCTTTGTAAGCAAAGTAATGTCTCTGCTTTTTAATATTCTGTCTAAGTTGGTCATAGCTTTCCTTCCAAGGAGCAAGCGTCTTTTAATTTCATGGCTGCAGTCACCATCTGCAGTGATTTTGGAGCCCAGAAAAATAAAGTCTGTCACTGTTTCCATTGTTTTCTCATCTAATTGCCATGAAGTGATGGGACCGGATGCCATGATCTTCGTTTTTTGAATGTTGAGTTTTAAGCCAGCTTTTTCACTCTCCTCTTTCACTTTCATCAAGAGGCTCTTTAGTTCTTCTTTGCTTTCTTCCATAAGGGTGGTGTCATCTGTGTATTTCTCCTGGCAATCTTGATTCTAGCTTGTGCTTCATCCAGCCTAGCGTTTCATATGATGTACTTTGCATATAAGTTAAATAAGCAGGGTGACAATATACAGCTTTGATGTACTCCTTTCTCAATTTGGAACCTGTCTGTTATTCCATGTCCAGTTCTGACTGTTGCTTCTTGACCTCTTCCTTCATGGTAAGGGCCAAGCGCCTTGGCATGGTCCTCTGGACCGGTCTTGATTGGCTCATGCCTGCCTGGCACCAGCTTCATCTCTTACTACACCCACATGAGCATCCTGTCCTCCAGATATATAGAATTAACCTTGAGTTCTCCAAGGTGCCCAGGTCATGTCCACTTGGCCTCTTTCTTTAGCTCGCCTGCCCCTACCTGTCCTCCAGGGTCGAGCTTCACTTCTCTGCGTTGGTCTTGGTCACATGCCCCTCCTCTGTGTGCCCACAACTTTGTTCTGGCAAAGGACATGGGATTTGTGCTAATTCTGTTCATCCCCTCCACTAGATGATAAAATTCTAGAGGAGACAGACATCTCTGTTTCTGGTGCTACCTAGGCCCCTGAAAGATTTATGAGGGAGCATAAGTTGATGCACACCATTATGGTTTTGTGGACAGCACACTAAGTTTTGAATCAAGAACTTTGGATTTAATTGTAACTAGGCAAGTCACCAGAGAAGGCAGTGGCAGTGGCAGTACTCCAGTACTCCAGTACTCTTGCCTGGGACATCCCATGGATGGAGGAGCCTGGTGGGCTGTAGTCCACGGGGTCGCTAAGAGTCGGACACGACTGAGCAACTTCACTTTCACTTTTCACTTTTCTGCATTGGAGAAGGAAATGGCAACCCACTCCAGTGTTCTTGCCTGGAGAATCCCAGGGACGGGGGAACCTGGTGGGCTGCTGTCTATGGGGTCGCACAGAGTCGGACATGACTGAAGCGACTTAGCAGCAGCAGCAGCAGGCAAGTCACTGTTCTCCGAGCCTAAATTTTCTTGCTTGTAAATTAGGAGTAATGATACCTGCCTCAAAGACTTGTAAAGATTAACTGAGATTGTGTTTTTGATGAGAAAGACATGAGATTTCTTTGACTTTACTCATTTGAGACAACAGAAGGTATTCTTTTAAGTAGAATGGTTGTTGTTTCCTTACTCAGTGGTGTCCGACTCTTTGCAAATCCATGAACTGTAGCCCACCAGGCTCCTCTGTTTGTATGATTTCCCAGGCAAGAATACTGGAGTGGGTTGGCCTATCCTTCTGCAAGGGATCATCCTGACCCAGGGATTTAACCCGCATTTCTCCCTTATTGGCAGGTGGATTCTTTACCACTGAGCCAACAGTAGAATGAGCCCGAGTAGAATGGTACAGTGTTTGAAACAGACTCTTGAGCCAGGCTGACTGGGTTTAAGTTGCAAACTTTACTGTACTCACTTGAGCTAGTGTTTTCTGTATCTCCGTTTCTTCTTTGGTAAAAAGAAAAAATAGGGTTGGGGGATAAAAGTAGTACCAGCCTCATAGAGTTCTGAGTTCTAGGGCAGTCAATACCTGTAAAGAACTTACAACAACCTAGAGCTTACTAAGTTCTAAGTGTTTTTGTTACAGCAACAGAAGAGATTGGGCCTGGGCATCTCTTAGTTGTACATTGGCCCAAGGATGACTGGCCTAAAAGTAAACCTTGCACAAACATTTCCATGATTGAGAGCTCAGAGTGCGAGGTACCTTTACACGTGCTTACTCAGATAAGCTCAGGTGGAGCGTATTATGTTGGGAAGGCCACTTGACAGTGGGGGCAAATCAAGTTATTTGAACTGTGAGCTCAAATCTTGCAGGACCTCTGAGTTCTCTTTTCCAGGTTCACCTTCAGCAAGAAACCAACAGTCACACCAGCATTTTTGGCTGGGAACCTTAAAATTTTAAGCCAAATGAAACCTGCACTGTTCCCCTTCATCTCATGTAACTGTCCTCACGTCATTTTTCAAATGAGCACTCATGAAGCCCAGATGAGGAAAATGATAAAGCCACACGGCTAGTTTGTGGCAGAACCAGACACGGAAGCCAGAAGCAGTTTGTAGTCACTGAGTCAGCTGGAGCTGAGGGTGTTTTGAACTCGGAGTCAGTAGTTGAGGGCGTAGCTGTGTCCTTCGTCTGAAGTAGCTAGGGACTGGCTGCCATGTGAAGTCGGCCCAGCTGGTCCTCTCGGGCAGAGGCATTTGGGTTATCTGTTTTTCAGCTTTCTGTGTTTCACCTCCTTTTGGCGACACAATCCCCAGTTTGGGGAAAATTGTGTAGGAGGTCTGGATTAGTGAGTGGTAGGAGAGAACGTTCCCCCTGTCCTCTGAATCCTCTCTCCCAAGTTCCAGCCCACATTTCCTTTTATATGTGAAGTGTCTGTCTTAACTGAGTCTGATTTTTCCTGCCTTCTGACTTAACCACTGCTATTTGCTAGTTGATGTCTTTTGTTTGGCCCTTTTATCATACTGTGCGTGCTTGGTTGCTCAGTCGTACCCGACTCTTTACGACCCCGTGGACTGTAGTCTGCTGCTGAGCTCCTCTGTCCATGGGATTTCCCAGGCAAGAATGAAGTGGGTTGCCATCTCCTTCTCCAGGGGCTTTTTCCTGACCCAGAGATTGAACCTGCATCGCCTGCACTGCGGGCAGATTCGTCACCAGCTGGGCCGTCGGGGACATGTTGAGTGTTCTGAATTGTTAGTCTTTTAAATTTGTCTCTATTTTTGTGACAGATTATAATCTTCCTGACATCAAGGAGTATGTCTTATTGTTCTGTTACCTACAATTTTGTTATCTTTGTGCTCCTGGCATGCTGTGGATGCTCCCTTATATTTTTGGTTTGCCATTTGTTTGACTGAAGGGAAGGAGAAGAAAAGGATCAAGAAACAATCGCCATCCAGTTGTGTAAACCCGTGTGCTCTTTTGAAACCTTCTTTAGATTGGGTAAAATGTTGAGAATAAGTTAGGGTCATTTTGAAATTAATCACTTAAAATACAACTGGGAAATATGCATAAAGTTGGATGTGCCTGCTTAGAAAAGACCAGGAGATTGTGTTTTATTTTCCAACTTTTTACTGCTTTGTAATCACAATAGCTCCACTTTATTTGCCTTAACAGAACAAGTGGCTGGTTATGTTCATGTGATTCTCATGATTCTCTCACGATTCTTGCTTTTTCTTTCTCGGTTTCTCCATGTTAGATGTAAAGTTTGTGTGGCTCCTTGTTTATGTTGATGGGCTAAGGCGGCCATTGCTGCCCAGCTGTGTATTCAAATAGTTGTTAGAAATTAATATTTGACGGGGATCTGCTCTTCATAAGTAGGAAGGATCCTAAGTTAGTTTGTTAATTCTGTAGGGTTCACACCTCGAGATTGGTTATCTGAAAGTAAGCAGTCATAATCTAGACTTGGAGAGTTGGGAAGGTGGAGGGTGTTCGCCCTTCTCTCTCCCTTTTTAAACCAATACTGGCTAGTCCTCGGTAAATGCATGGAAGGGTTAAGTGAACCAGAGATCATCCTCCATTAATTGTCAGGTGCTGAAATTTAGGGTTTTATTATGAGCTAAGATTTGTAATATTCCAGTCACCAGTGACTGTTTTATTTATTTAACAGACGCTAATACTGCACTTACCACATGCTAGACACTGTTGTAAGCACTTTGTAAATATTAACATATTAGTCCTACAAGGTAGGTACAGTTACGATCTCATCTTGCACAGAAGGAAATGGAGGCCCAGAGGGATCCAGTCACTCGGGGCCTGAACAGCAGAGCCAAGGTCCAAGCCTCACAGTTGGGCTCTCCTCCACACTCTCAGGCTTTGCACCGGTTGCCTGTGTGTTCCATATGAAGTCAGCAGTTTTCATTTACCTGTCAGTAGATACTTTCTACCTACAAATATCTAGAAAGAATTTTTTTTTCAATGTTAAATCTTTGACAGATACTTCCTCAAAGAGTTGTTTCATTTGCTAAGACTAAAGGAAAAAAAATCTCTTTTGGCTATACTGAGTAAGGGCTGCCTAAGATAGTTCATTCTGATCAATTTTATATGCACAGATTTACTTAAAACACACATACACACACAGTGGAGGCGAGGCTATTATGCAAATTGCCACTGCAGCAAAAGCTTCTGAAGCACTGCCTTTAGAAGGAAGTTGCAGCCACCACACTGCTAAGTGCCCTGCTTGGAAGGGCTGTGGGTGCCCTGCTGAGAAATACTGCTGGCAGCTTTGTCAGCCGGCGCCTGGTGCCAGATGTGGCGGAGCCCAGGAGGGATGTTGTGGCAGAGCTCCCCGAGAGCAATGGAGTGTGTAGACCATTTGGATTGGACTGGACATCATGGAGGGTCAGTTTTCCCAGAGCTGTTTCTCGAAGGTGTTCTGTACCACTTTAAATAAACTGTCTCTGTAGACTATTTTTCAAGTGTTTTCAACTTTACAGGTTCATTTAAACATTGATACCAAGTTATATGCACTTCTTTTGTAGGCTCGATTAACTCTGTTTTGATGTCATTAAATATGTTTCACAGTTGCACAGAGTTGAGGTTGATAATTCTTTGTATTAATGTAGTATTATAGATTGACATCATCATCATGGAAACTCGTTTTTTGAACTCTTCCCGTTACGAGTGCAAGGCGCGGTATTGTTAGTTACATATCAAGAACTACATTTGTTGGAGATCTATGGTGTATTAGGTTAGTTCATATTTATTACATTATTTAATACTTCTTACATTACCTCCATGAGCACTGGGCTTCCCGAGTGGTTCAATGGTAAAGAATCTGCCTGCCTGTGCGGGAGGCGCAGGAGACATTGGTTCGATCTGTGGGTTAGGTAGATCCCCTGGAGGAAGAGATGGCAACCCCCTCCAGTATTCTTGCCTAGAAAATCCTGTGGACAGAAGAGCCTGATGGGGCTGTAGTTCATGGGGTTGCAAAGAGTAGGACATGACTTAGTGACTGAACGTGAACACAAGTACCATAAGCATCATAGACCCATATTGGAGGACAATGAAATTCAGGCTCAGAGAGGGTGAGTGATTTGTTCCCAGTCACACAGCTTGTTTAGGCAGAGCTGAGATTCAGGTCCAGGCCAGTCTGACTCCTGAAACCTCTTTTTCTACTAACAGTACATTCCTTCTATAGCTTCCCGTAGAAGAAACCTATTTTTTTTTTTTTTTTTTTTTGTAAATGTGCAACAGTGTACTTGTCTATGCTGTTGAATCCAGGGTAAAAAGTTATATTATTCATGCAGAGTGGAAAGGACTTTTTAATGATCCCCTACCCCTAGAAAAGATTTAAACTCTAGAATAGAGATTTAAACTCTGGACTTAGATTGCTGGGCTAAATGTGATTATGTGCTAATGTTTTTATAGTTTATGCCAACATTTCAAAAATCTTTTCCAGGTTCTCATATTTCCTCTAGGATTTGCCACATGTTAGCAGTAAAGAAGATGGCTAATTGTGTTTCTTTATTCTTTCTTTCTTTAGGATGTGATAGGCCAGGTTCTGCCTGAAGCAACAACCACAGCATTTGAATGTAAGTCTGGGTTATATACTTTGACTATTTCTCTCTGCAGTAATTTTTCAAAGGGTTTGTGGGTTGCGTTACTTTCGAAACTGACAAAAACAGATTATTTATGATCATCATATGATACATTTAAATATTTATAAATTAATGCAAGTTTAATGATGATACTGAACCAAGTAATATTTTCTTATTTAATCATATCTTGGGTGTACATATTTCTATAATATAGCTTTAATTACCAACATGACCTTTATCTGCTCTTGCTCCTCACTGTAATAATATTGTAGGACAAAATGAAACGTGTAAACTACCTGTAGGCCAGTGATTATTGATGAAAAGATTTTAATCCTTTGCTCCCTTAAATTGCAACAGAGTAGAGCGATTAAGTGAATGCTGCGGGAACAATTCTGCTTTATAGTGGGGCTTGGCAAGGCTTTTGGATGGGGACAGCAACACTTCAGGTCTTGAGTCATTCCCCACCCCACCCCCCAAAACCAGTTTGCTTGGGGCCTGGGGTGAGGGCAGGGTGTACTAGAAAACTGGTTTTGACATTAGCAGGGGGATGTGAAGGGCTGAGTAGGATGAGAGTTTAGTCAGTAGCCCAGGGCCTCTGGTGTTGGGAAGGATAAAGAAAGGTTTGTAACTGGCCTCATCTTTTATTGATGATGTGGTCTGCTTTTCCTTGTGGAAAAATGTACAGTTTTTCCGCATGATTGTATCTTTTTTGTTCTTGTTTTTTAAGCAGATGGTTAATGACAGAGAGTACAAGGTCCTTTCTTTTATTTATGTTCTCTTGGAGACAATTTGACAATACTTACCAAAATATAGAATGTTCAAAACCTTTGACTGGACAGATCCACTTTTAGGAAACTGTCCAACAGAAATATCTACACATGTGTTGAATGTCCTTCAAACAAAACGTTCATTGTGGAATTTTTTTTTTTTTTTCCGTTTAATTTTGGCTGCTCTATAATGCTGCTCAGTTCCCTGACCAGGTATTGAACCTGGGCCACAGCAGTGAAAGCATCAAACCCTAACCACTAGGCCACAGGGAATTCCCTGGAATTATTTTTAAAAGCAAGAAATTTAGAGGTAAGCTAAATGCCTACAATTAGTTAATTAATTAACCATGGTCTGAAGCATTAAGTGGTGACTAAAAAGAATGAGAATTTTGAACATTGACATGGAAATATATTTGGGATATACTATTAATAAACAAAATATGTATGGTATGATCCCATTTTGATTAAATATAGTATGATCACATGTTTATTCCCTACTTCCACCTCCCAACTTCATGTACATACTGAGACAAAGATCTGAAGAGGTGCCTTCCGCAGTGCTTTCCAGTGGTTTCTCCTGGAAAGCAGACTTGGGGCTGTCATGAGGGAAGAACTGACTGAATGAACACACTTCCTGCTTTATCTCTCTCTCTCTATTGCTATTTCAGTATTCTCTGTTGAATGTTTTTCAACAGTCACTTTGTGGTTTTAAAAGCTACTTGAGTAGAACTCTTAATTAATAAAGAAGAGTATTATATTAACCACACTGAACTCCATATATTACTGAAAAATAGTATGTATATCTGAAATACATGTTAGTGTTGCAGGCTCTTCAGACGCCTTGAGGTAACTTCTTGGGGATGCCAAGGATTTCATGGATAGTCTGGTAGTTAACATTTGGGGTACTTGATTGTTGCCAGATGCTGTGTTGAGTGTTCCATGAATATTACTCAGCCATTAAAAAGAATTCATTTGAATCAGTTCTAATGAGATGGATGAAACTGGAGCCCATTATACAGAGTGAAGTAAGCCAGAAAGATAAACACCAATACAGTATACTAACGCATATATATGGAATTTAGAAAGATGGTAATGACAACCCTATATGCAAAACAGAAAAAGAGACACAGATGTACAGAACAGACTTTTAGACTCTGTGGGAGAAGGCGAGGGTGGGATGTTCTGAGAGAACAGCATTGAAACAAGTATACTATCAAGGGTGAAACAGATCACCAGCCCAGGTTGGATGCATGAGACGGGTGCTCAGGGCTGGTGCACTGGGAAGACCTAGAGGGGTGGGGTGGGGAGGGAGGCGGGAGGCGGGGATCGGGATGGGGAACACATGTAAATCCATGGTTGATTCATGTCAATGTATGGCAAAAACCACTACAATATTGTAAAGTAATTAGCCTCCAACTAATAAAAATAAATGAAAAAAATAAATAAAAAGAGTGTTCTATGGGTTATCTCATTTAATTTAACCTTCACAAGATCCCCATGAAGTACTTTGAAGGACTGTTATTTGCTCTGTGCTACTTGAGGACATCTCTAAGTAACTTGTTTAAGTCTCACAGCTAGTAAGTGATAAAGTGGAATTTCTCATGTGTATATTCTCAGCCACTGTTGAGACTTGTTCTAAGAGTTGTCATAATTCTTGATGTTGTGCATTCTGATTGTTTTTAGGTGAGGCAAAAAAGAATCTTACCTTGCTTTCTCTACTTCTCCCTTTCTGTATCCCTCCAAGTGGCTTGATGTACCTGTGCCTTTCTGGCTTTCAGGGTCAGGGTTCATAGTAGTAATGCTGATTATTTTAGCTATCATTTATTGATGCAGGTCAGGAAGCAACAGTTAGAACTGGACATGGAACAACAGACTGGTTCCAAATAGGAAAGGGAGTATGTCAAGGCTGTATGTCGTCACCCTGCTTATTTAACTTATATGCAGAGGACATAATGAGGAACGCTGGGCTGGATGAAGCACAAGGTGGAATCAAGATTGCTGGGAGAAATACCAATAACCTCAGACGTGCAGATGCTGCTGCTGCTGCTAAGTCACATTAGTTGTGTCCGACTCTGTGCGACCCCATAGACGGCAGCCCACCAGGCTCCTCTGTCCCTGGGATTCTCCAGGCAAGAACACTGGAGTGGGTTGCCATTTCCTTCTCCAATGCATGAAAGTGAAAAGTGAAAGTGAAGTCACTCAGTCATGTCTGACTCTTGCGATCCCATGAACTGCAGCCCGCCAGGCTCCTCTGTCCATGGGATTTTCCAGGCAAGAATACTGGAGTGGGGTGCCATTGCCTGCTCCAGATGTGCAGATGACACCATCCTTACGGCAGAAAGTGAAGAACTAAAGAGCCTCTTGATGAAAGTGAAAGAGGAGAGTGAAAACGTTGGCTTAAAGCTCAACATTCAGAAAACTAAGATTATGGCATCCAGTCCCATTACTTCATGGCAAACAGATGGGGAAACAGTGGAAACAGTGGCAGACTTCATTTTTGGGGCTCCAGAATCACTGCTGATGGTGAATGCAGCCATGAAATTAAAAGACGCTTACTCCTTGGAAGGAAAATTATGATCAACCTAGATAGCATATTAAAAAGCAGAGATATTACTTTACCGACAAACTTCCATCTAGTCAAGGCTATGGTTTTTCCAGTGGTCATGTATGGATGTGAGAGTTGGACTATAAAGAAAGCTGAGCGCCAAAGAATTGATGCTTTTGAACTGTGATGTTGGAGAAGACTCTTGCGAGTCCTTTGGACTGCAAGGAGATCCAACCAGTCCATCCTAAAGGAGATCAGTCTTGGGTATTCATTGGAAGGACTGATGTTGAAGCTGAAATTCCAGTACTTTGGCCACCTGATGTGAAGAACTGACTCATTGGGAAAGACCCTGATGCTGGGAAAGATTGAAGGTGGGAGGAGAAGGGGATGACAGAGGATGAATGGTTGGATGGCATCACCGACTCAGTGGACATGAGTTTGGGTAAACCTTGGGAGTTGGTGATGGACAGGGAGGCCTGGAGTGCTGCAGTCCATGGGGTCGCAAAGAGTCGGACACGACTGAAGGACTAAATTGAACTGAACTAACTGATGGGCTGCTGTGTGCCAGACAGTGTTCTAGATGAGGTACCCCGATTGTTGCTAATCTTTGCAATAATTGTGTAAGGTAGGAAAATTACACTTGTGAGGAAACTGAAACTCAGAGACAAAGAGATTGTTGAAAGTGATCAGCTAGGAAGTGGTAGAGTCCATATGCAGATACAGTTCTGTTTGAGCATGCAACTTGCAGCCTTTGTAACCAAGTACATTGAAGGCCTGTGAAGGGTGTTAGCTGTGGTTTATGGGTGTGATGGAACAACTTTGGAATAAGTGAAACTTTGATCAAAGAAGTATTTATGGTAATATATTTAACACTGAAAAGTATACTTAACACTAACAGAAGAAATGTTTAAACTTCTAGGTCTAACCTAGATATCTTTACTTTCTTCCCCCCACAACAAGGGCAGTGGCTCTATACCCATCAGCTTCTAGACCAGTTTTAGGTGGCAAGAATAAGGACAAAAATACAGAGAGATAAAGTAATGATAGTTCTTTGTTTTATTGTGTTCAGATTGTTGTGGACTTTCCATTATAGACTTAAAATCCTACGCGGGCTTCTTTCATGAGTGTTCTAGGGTGACCTTATTTTCTGTACCAAAGATCCATACTAATGAATGAAATCTATGTGCAAAAAATATTGATAGTTGGAAGGATGTAGTTTATATGCTAATTTGCTGAAATATTTGAGCTCTTTCAGTAGTTTATGGTATGATGGAACAAATCTTGAATAAATAAAACTTTAAGATATTTATGGTAATATAGTTAAGGCTGCTAAGTGCGGTGGTTTAGTTACTAAGTCATGTCCAACTCTTTGGGACCCCATGGGCTGTGGCCTGTCAGGCTCCTTTGTCCATGGGATTTCCCAGGCAAGAATACTGGAATGGGTTGCCAGTTCCTTCTCCAGGGGATCTTCCTGACACAGGGATCAAACGTAGGTCTCCTACATTGCAGGTGGATTCTTTACCAACTGAGCCACCAGGGAAGTCCTGCAAGGTATGCCCAACAGTAACCTATACAAAAGAGGTGGTATTATATTTAGTGATACAATTAAGTGACGAGAGAAAGGACAGTGTCAACTTTACTGGTTCTACGTAAATGTAGAGAAAAGGAGTAAGTGGAGAAGA